TTAAAATTAAGAACTCAAATGACTGTTCAACTTCATGCAGTGATTAACACCACTTAGCAATTTTATTATAACATACTGATATATGAATAAATCTGTTACACTTTTCATAATGAACGAAATTTAAAATATCATGATAATCGATCAATATGAGAATTGTCTACTCTTATATAAGAGATGTCACCAACATATCATCAGATATATTATTGCAGATGTTCATTTTCATTCCGTTAAATGATGATGTCATTACATGTTTTTGACACGAAAAACAACAATAATATCATTCCTTTTTACATAATTCAATTCAAAAATTCATTTTCATCTTATGAATGAATTGTTATACAATGATAATAATAATAATAATAATTTCAGAAAAAAACAAATTTTCGTTTTATTTATTTTTTTCTACCATCAAACAATTTTCATCACAAAAAAAAACAAATAAACAAAAATAAATTAACTTATTTAATTTTTCTCATCCAATGTTTCTTCTTCTTCTTCTACTCTTTTTCACATTTTTCGTTACAACTACAATAATTAACAGAGTAAAGAAAGAAAAGAAAAAAAAGATTAACATTAACAATGAATAATACAAATAAAACATCGTTGAGATTTAGATAAACAGAGAAAAAAAAATTTTCAATAGAGCACGAAACACACCAACAAAAAAACAAAAATAATAATAATTCTTTTCAAAAGACATGGCTTTGGTTTTTTCAATAATTAAATTCACAAAACAAAAAAAATTCTTTTTTTTTTTTTTTCATTCAAGATCGGAATCGGCCGATGATGATTCATCATGTATCGATCGTTGCCAAGTTTTAAGACGCTGTTCAAGTATTGTTTGCCATGCACATTGTAAACATTTACTTGGATAACGGATTTTATATGGAATATTCGGTTTATTCGATATAAATATCAATGCATCTTCACCTATTCAATACAGAAAAAAAAAGTAATAAATCTGAAAACAATATAAAAAAAAAACTACATACGTTCATTACTAGATCGAAAATCGACAATATCAGTTAATATAATTGCATCACAAACAAGTGTTAAACGTGTATCAATTGCATTACGTTGTGTAAATAAAAGCATATCATTTAAAAGTATAGCCCATGTCTAATATAAAATTATTTTTAACATCAAATAAATAATATTGTATAAGTCGTATTTTAAAGATCTCACTATCTTTTAAAATATTACTATAAGATTATAGTAGACGGTAAACTCTTACAATTTTTCATTTGATCTGATTACTTATGAGATAATCGAGCTTATCTCACTTAGGATTGATCAAAAGTTTGAATTACAACGTTTAAAAAACCTTGTCGGATAAGGTAACTTATTCAGAAATGGCAAAACCAAATATTCCATGTTGTAGAGCTTTTTGAGGCGCGTTCAATCGTATTTAGTAAATCCTGTTTTCATACAATTTTGTAGAGTTTTTAATGGGCTACAACCTCATATACATAGTGTGTGTGTGTAGTCGTCTATCAGTAAATTGGCTCTAGTTTCTTCAAAGTTTTATGAAAATAGGATTGACTATGTACCACTAGACACGTCTCAAAAAGCTCTACAACATGAGATATTTGGTTTTTCATTTATGAATAGATCAATTTATCCGACAAGGTTCTTTAAACGCCGTGACCCGAAAAAAATTCTAATTTTAAAGAATCAATTCTAACTTTTAGTTAAGTTTGTTCTATTGAAAAACAAAATTTATTTACCTCAATATAGCTTTTATTTTCATTTTGTAATAAAAGTACACCCGAAAAAATCACATGTCGATTTCGACCAGTAAGAGTTATAGACTAAAAGAAAAAAAAAGTCAAACAATCAAAAGTTTAAAAAACTTTTTTTATTTCTTACTTGAATATTTTTTTTAAATTGTAGACGATTTTGTAAATCAATAATTTGTTCATCTTCGGATTGATTTATTAATGATGATGTTATTCCACTTGCACTGTTCAATGTCATTGTTGTTGTACAATGATGTTGACTTGTAGATGATTCATGATATAATGAACATTGCCGTAATTCTATGCAAGACGAAAAAAAAATAATTTTCTTTTTTTTTGGAATTTTAATTTTGATTTTTTTTTTACCTTTAAGAACATGTAAAAGATAATTTGCATCGTTTGCATTTTCACATATACAACATAATGTATCTAATTGATTTGCAAGATTATCAATATGATTAAGAGGAATTTGTAAAAACTGTTCAATTGTAAGATTTGAATTATTTCCTTGAATAAATCTTTGAAAACTAGCACATTTTGTTAATTGTTTTAATTGTAAACAAGCATCAGAATAACCAGATATATAATGTGTAAATGCTTCACATATTAATTGAACTTTTTCATGAAATATTCGACCAATATGACTAATTATTGTTCGTTCAGATAATGATTGTAAACGATTTAATTGATAACGTGATATAGCTAAGATCTATGTTTCAAACAAAATTTTTATTTAATATTAAAATTTAACAAAAAAATATTTTACTTTTTCAATATTTTGAAATAATTTTCCATGTTCATTTGATGATATTAAATAATGTTTTAATGGACGAGAATATAATTGTACACCTAATTCAAGTTGACAAATAAATTCTTTTTCAATTTCAATTAAATGTAATGCTTCACGTTCATATGTTTCAGAAATAATTTCCTAAACAACAAAAAAATTTATTTCATTATTAATTAATATTTCTAATCTACATACTAATCGATGTTCACCATCAGAATATGGATTACTTTCTGAACCAACACCTGATTCACTTCCATCACTTCGTTCAGATATTTTTCGATAAATTGGTGACATAAGTAATGATTGTGGTTCTTGTTTATTATTAAGAGTAATTGTTTCAGGTAAAAGACAATTTGTTATTTCATCATAATTATTATATGGTTTATCTGATGAACAAAAAGCTCGATCAGCATATGTATCACTAAATGAATAATTATGATCAGATTTATTTGAAAATATATTTGAATTTAATGGTTGATGTTGATCAATTGAATTTAAAACAATTTTATTTGATGTTGATGTTATTGAACGACGATATAATTGAAGAGTTATTGGTAATGATAAATTTCTATTATAATTGAATATAATTCTTTATTATTAAATTAATAATATAAACTAACCTCATTAATTTATGAATAGCTTTAGCTTGTGTACGTGAAACATTAATATCATTAACTTGAAGAAGAATATCACCAGGCATTGGTCGATTACATGATGAACCAACACTAGATTTTACTTCACTAACTGTACAAGGATATCCAGAAGCAAAATGTATATCATCACGATCAAATATATCGACCTAAAAAATTTTATGATTGTTAAGATTCAACAAAGACTTTTCACAAGAAAAATAGCTATGTTTTTCGATAGTCAACTATTCAACGCAAAATAACCCTCCGTTACAACTCTGCCATTTTTTACCAGATTAATCAAAACTCTACATTTCTGCATCATTTTGTCGAGTACAGAGATGAGCTGCTCCGACTTCAGAAAGTTAGCTCCGTTCTTGGAGCGGTAGTTCAAAATTTTCCATTGGAGCAGAGCGGCTAGAAAAAAACTGAAGCTGCCCATCTCTGGAGTCGAGTAGAGATTACCCTCAAATATTATTTACAGGAACCAGGCTTGTCTTCAGAAAATCTTTTTCAAGGCTTCTCAAGATTTCTTTATAACTCAATAGTTAAACGGGTTGTTTTCGGCTTGTTCACTTTCTAATACTATTCAGGTATTTAAATGTTTTGAGGAAGATTAATCCTTCCAAACATCTCTCTGAGAACTATCGAACATTCTACGTAGTAAGAAAACTGTTAATTTTGAAGTCGAATATGATGAAGTATGATGCAATGAATATTTCTTTTTCTTTTTTTTCATCTATAATCTTACATTTAATAAAATTCCATTCGTATGATTTCCTATAGATGAATGTGATCGTTGTGTTTTTGTAGATTTTTTATTATGAGATGAGGACATTTCAACATTTAGTGCCATTCGTTTATGTCGACCAATTGATTCCGGTAATAGACAATACC